CCCCCCAATCTCAGGAGAGAGACCATTATGCAGGAGGGAGAGGGAGGAATGATTCAAGCTAAATGTATTGCTCAAGACAAATTTCCCTAGAGAACTGTTCAAAGACGTGAACAAAGACAATAAAAAAGAAAGCAATGCCACAATGACAATGCAAAACAGAGTTTATTCCTGGTGCCAAAGAATCTCTATTTTTTATGTGGTTGATATTAATTAAAATAAAGAGCAACTGCTTTAGCACAAGAACTCTCTAGTCAAAGTATAGACTAGCATTCTGTTTGAGTCTTTGTAAATGGCCTTTGTTGTTGTTGTTGTTGTGTGCCTTCAAGTAATTTCCAACTTAAGGTGATCCTAAAGTGAACCTATCACAAGGTGTTTTTTTTCTGGGGCTGAGAGTGTGTGACTCACACAAGGTCACTCAATGGCTTTCCATGGCTGAGCAAGGAGTTGAACCCTGGTGTGCAGGATTGTAGTGCAATGCTAAAACCACTACACCACACTGGCTCTCGTAAATGGCCTCATGTGTGCAAAAACAAATGTAGTAGTTTCACAATGTGCTGTGATGTTGCAATGTATGGGCATCCATTGCACAATGGAGGAGTGACTGATGCAATGGCCTAATGTGCCATGGGCATCAATGCACATCAGAGCACCTTGCCCTGAGTCTGTCTCTCTTCAGTCTCTTCACATGCCAATCCACCTATTCCAAGGATGCTTATTTGTACTGGCTCCATTCACATGATCTTACCTCGCATTTCTGCTCCCTGATGTCCATCACACTCTGTTGTAGACCCCTTTGAGAGAAGAACATAAAGCAAGTAAGAGAGTTACATAGATGATGGCCAGTATTCTTCATCAACAACCAAGATTATGAGTACAGAATAGTTATGTATCAATACATCTAGGTAAATGTTCCATATTAATGATTGCTACCTAGCCATAATTGTGCATTTATGACCATGATTCTAACTCTTCCTCTCTCAACCAGTGTTATCAGGCATTAGCTGCATGGAGAAAAGGAGGTCCATTTTGAAGGTGATTGGAGTGAATGATGTTTCCATCAGATTTGGAGGAGTGATCTGTTAAGTATACTTAATGGATGTAAAATAAAGGAGGAGAAGGAGGAAGCTATCTTGATCCTAAATCCAGTTAAATTCCAGCTAGAGCAGAACCCCTAAATCATTAGCACTTATGCTAGGGTTGACTTGCCACATTCCCATTGCTTTAAAGTGCCTGCTGTAGTTGATGTTATCAATAGGCTATAGGCCCTAGATACCCAAACTTGGACTTAACTGGAGTAGGACATCTACAGGAGAACATGTTCATTCCAATCCATTGAATGACTGTAGCAACTTTCCATGCATTCCTTCTCTAAAGGGCGATGTTGGTTGAAGCAGCTGTTTGATTCGTGTTTCTAGCCTTTCCTCCTAAAATGTTCATCTCCCCCATCAGACCAGCTATTCAAGGTATATCAAACATCCACAGTGTAGTTTCAAACCACTGTAACTGCCACGGCTCCATCCTACAGAATCCTGCAATTTGTAGTTTTGTGAGGCACTGGGATGCTTTGGCAGAGAAGGCTAAAGATCATGTAAAACTACAAATCTCAGCATTCCATAGGATGGAGTTACAGCACTTCAAGTGGCATGAAACTGCATTATTAATACAGTGTAGATACACCCAACATCATCTCCAGAATTACATCCATTTTTTCGCATTGCTATTTTCATCTAACATAGTCCAAAATATGTCTAATCTCTGCCACACACCGCTCAGCAAGCCCTCACTTTGATTTTTGTGCAACTTGTCGCACAAGCAGGGAAATATTAAACCAGCAGTTACAAGCTATGAAATCAAACTGACCAAGGGCTTTTTTCGATTTCGCTTGCAAGGAAGCAATTTGAGGCAGCGAGGGGAACAACTGAGACATTCACATGAGAATGATATCGTGATGAGAATAATACCATCATCTCCCAAGACAGACAGGGAAAGAGGATTTAATGCTGGTAGCTCATGTTGCTTTTTTTGGAACAAGTTTACAAGAAAATTACATGCATCAACGCATCTCATACACCTCCTGGAACACCTTCTAATGGAAAAAAAAAGCACATTACAGATATCACATGCCTTTTATTTCCTCATGATTGCCACAGGCACCCAAGGAAATGAATAACAGATATTTTGTTATTTTACTTCCCCCATCCCAGAAAAATCAGATTTGTTTTTAAATGCTGAAATTTACAGTGAGTTAGGCTGTCCCCTGCAAGGCCAGAGTGTAATGAAATAACTCTTTTGGGAGAAGGGATCATATTTCATTGCAAACTGAAAGTGCCAAGTTTACAAACAGTCCGACTAAGGAGCCAAGGATGAATGATTTTTCTATCCTCCAGGTCAGTTGACAAGCAAAATAATTTAATTTCCTGTATTAAAGAACACTGGCTGGGATTTACATCATACTCTACCATTTTTTTAAAAAAAAAACATTTACAAAGTTGCAGAAATGCAACAAAACCTTGTTAGCAAATTGCAAAGATGTGCAGATGTTTGTAGAGAAATACACACCAGAAATCGGCATGATGTTGGATGTTGGATGAAAACTCTGGAAGACTACTCAGCCATGGAAATCCACTGGGCAACCTTGGGTGAGTTTTTCACCCTCAGAGGATAGCAATGGCAGACCTCCTCTGAACAAATCTTGCCATAGCTGTCCACTGTCCAAGGATATGCCTCTGCATGTATAATGGTTACACATGGCAAACTTTGCTGATGCAGTTGTGAACTGAATATGGACATGATACATTTGCCACAAATGTACAACCACATCCATAAGGTGTGAATAAAACACCAACAGGACATGACTGAGGAGCCTTTGGCACCTCAATTACATTTTCATCGTGTATGGGGGAAACTTAAACCATGGTCTTCTAAGTTCTCCACCATCAACTTGATGGAGAATTTAGAAGACTATCTCTCAACAGTTGCCCACCCCAATTTACCTGATCACTAAATGGAACAGTCTGCACATTGGCTTCATTTCAATTCATGCCCAGGTGATGTATTATTCATGTGTTTGTGCCTGTAACAGGATGCAAGACATCCCACTCTGTGACTCACACAGATTTTGCTAGATTGATCAACAGATTGATAACCTTTGCAAAAATTTCCCTCTGAGTAGGAACACTCATTCTGAAGCAACAAAGCATAATACTACTTCCGTTGCTTCTTGACAATGCACTTGTGGGTTGTGGTGGGCATTCCCCATTTCCTCTCACTCAAGAGTTCATGGCTCTTTGACAAAGGTGTTTGTTCTCTGTTGTTTTATAGGTAGGGTAGATACATACCAAGGAGTGTACATGTATTATACATGTGAGGCTATGGCCACATTGATTGAATCTGCCTACCTATAATGTGGTCCTTCTCTTTTCTTTCTGCCTCCCACTTTACAGGCATTATTATCTTTTCATCTCATGATATGACCAAAGCAGAATAGCCTCAGTTTGGTCATTGTGGCTTCTAGGAAGAGTTCAGGCTTGATTTGTACAATGTGTGGATGGACCTTCTCAAATCATCTGTTGACTTTTTGCAACTCCATGCATTTGATAGGGTGTTCTTAGAAAAGGAATACTCAGAAGTGATGTGCCATTGTTCTCTGAAAGATATCCTACAGCATCTGATATGTCATGGCAGTCTCCTTTCAAGAACTAAGGGTTGATCCTACTCAGCATCTAAGATCAGATAGGATTTGGAGCCTTAGAAGGGTATTTAGGCCCTTTGATTTGCTCCAAGACCCCTTTATTAGTCACTTTGACAGTTCATAGTATCTATAAAAATTGTCTCCAGCACCACATTTCAAATGAGTTTATTCTTTTTCTGTCAGCTTTCTTTTTACTGTCCAAATTTCTCAACCATACATAGACATGTATGTATGGTTTTCATCCATCCAAATCTTGTTGGACTATAACTGCCAACATCCTCCACCAGAGGCTATGATCACTACAACTGATAGGTTTTACAGCCCGACAAGATCCGGAGGGACAAAATTTGTTTATCCCTGACCTACCTGGTGTCCTATAGACCAACAGAATCAGGAATCCATGCCCCAATGAATCTGAAATCCAAATGTTGACGGGACTTGCCTTTAAGGAATTCTCTGACACATCAAGCAGTTTTAGGATAAAGATGTCAACCTCAGTGTCAACAACAGTAATCTATCCTTGACAGTGCAATGGAGTGATTTCCTACAGCAGGAATTTGGTTTCACTACCAGATTAAGCCTCAAAGAAAGACTGAGAGGTGAAATGACAGTTCTCAAATATCTCAAGGTAAGTCATGTGGAAGAGCCTTTGTTTTTAACTGCTTCAGAGGACAGAACATGAAGTAATGAAGCCAAATTCCAAGAGAAGAACATCTGCATAAACCTCTTGATGATAAAAACTCTTTGATGGTGGAATAAACAAGCTTTGAAAGGTGACAGACTCTCCTTCATTGGAGCTTTTTGAACAGATTTTGGATGTCTACCTCAGGGGATTAGACTAAAAAACTCTTAGGATCCTCTCCAACTCTTTGATTCTACAATTAAGATGAATCTAGACCAACAAAGATGGGTACCTTAACAGAAATTACATTTCCCTGGACAAGAGGACAAGATGAATAGGAAATAACTTACCGTCCGTTGAAGCACTAAGGCCACAATAATTCCCAAGGCTACAAGAAGACAAAGAGTGAGGGAAACTGTGACAAAATAGAGGTACGCTTGGATTGTGGGATTAAACGGCCTGGTGACACCTTCTTCAGTCATATCTTTGAACACTTCCTGAGGACAATTCACTCTGAAGAAAGGTTTCTTCTCTGGCTGAGAGTTCATCCCTTTATAAAGTCCTCAGTGTCTCACCCCATATCTTCCTCTGATCACCTTTGGTCTCGCATCTGTGTTCTTGAGTGAGTTCCCCTACACTTTGGCTCATGTGATCTGGAAAAAATAGCTTCATCACTTGTTGCATGAAGAAAAAAAAAGGAATACAAAGAGAGTTGGGTCAGAAGGTGAGTCAGTGATGGACTCCAAGAAGAAGAAGGATTTCTCTGCTTTTCAGAGGAGATTCCACCAAGATGAGACCTGATACTGGATACTAGAGCGAGGAACTCAAAATGATCTCTTTCCTCTCTGCTCAGCAGATATCTACAAACCCAGTATCACAGCTGTTCTTGTCTGGGCACTTCCTGTTTCAGATGTCACCAGTCTATTCTATATACTGAGAATGGGAGGGCTGTCATGCAAATACACATCAAAGAAGTTCCCCTTTTCTAATCTCTGGAGATCTGTATTTCCAAAGATTGCTTAATCACAGTTATTTTTAAAAGTCTGCAAAGCCCCCTTCTCCTTTGGATAAATAATTGCAAATGCTGCTTTTTAATCTCCATAGGTTTATCTGATGTTGCATCCAATGAGAGCCACAGAGATTGGACCGTGTCTCTACTGAGTTGCCAAGCATCTACTTTGTGAATCT